ATTTGACAAACAGGAAATTAACCAGGCATTTATTATTGTATAAGGAACAATTAAGAAAATTACAACTGGCTACTTAAAAGGGGTACAAGACCACCTGGGGAAAATTGTATTCGATTAAAAGAGATGCTCGCTTACACGAGGTACAGATGACATAGCAAATTATGGCATTTTCCAGGAAAATTTTCTGACCGTTTACTTAAATTCATGAAATTTTCACTAAGAAAGTTCTCACTGTACTTGTTTTGTTTTCTTTTAAAAAGTTTTTTTCAATATTTAGTGGATAGTTGATGGGTGATTTAAAAGAGGTGCAGGCAACATACCATAAGTAAAAGCTATAAATGTTTTACATATAGTATGTATTTTATAAAATCCCTACTAAATTTTATAAATTACTTTATAATTACTGTATTTGATCGCTTCCAAGACATGCTTGTGTTTAGGAATGCTGCATTGCCACAATTAGCATGATGATGATGATCAACAATGATCGTATCTTTAATGAATCTAAAGATATAAATCAACACATGACTTGATGCAATGATATTTTATTGTTCCTTAAAATACATTTCAAGTACTGTATCTAAGTATTTTCTCTCAGTCAGATGGAATGGTTGAAATGCATTGCAAAACATAATAAAATTTCAATATGAAAAGAATGAGACTACATTCTCACTTTATTATTTGTAAACTATTGTTATGTTTAAAAACTGAAAGCATTTGAAGAGTTAAGATGCAAAAGATATGCTCAATTTAAAAACAAATTGAAGTAAAGAATTCTGTATGATCAAAAAGGAAATGGTATTTAGATCATTAAATTAGAATTTACTAAAAAAAACAACAGCCCCATGCAAACAGTAGCACGCCCAGAGCGAAGATTTGAAGTACAATCTAAGCAATATGTCAATTATTTCTTAATAGACCTATTACGTTTTGCATCCGAAATCCCCATTTAAGAACTATGGGAATAAATGAAAATCACATTAAAAATTAAAAAGGAAGTTAAAGTTTAAAAAATTTAAACACTTTTTAACATTTTAAAGAGAATATTAAACTGAAATATTATTGTTTGTTTTTTTTAATTGTCCTACTTTTTCATGCTTTGTTGGTAGAAGACCTGATTTACGTAATTATGTGTTATTGAAAACTGAAAAAAAATGTCATAAATTATAATAATTAATCAAACATTAAGAAAAACTGTAGAATATTCTTGTTTTTTTTCTGCTAAAGTAATTTTAAATATATTAATTTGTTTTCTTTTTCCCTCTTCTGGTCTGTGTACTAGAAATGTAATCTGCAGTATGTAAATCTCGTAGTTTTATCATTGTATTTTTTGAATTTCATTAGGAAAATTTTGATTTTTTTCGATTTATTTATTTATTCACTTAAAACAAATGAATAAATTTAATCTTATAAATAATTGAATTAACTTGATGTTTACACAGTACAATATATANTTATTTGATTAATTAAAATTATTATATAGTTTTAAAAAAACATATAATTTTTGTTAATTTAATATATAAAAATTTTATAAATTAAAAATTTAAAAGTAGTTCATATAAATAAAACCTGAATTTATCAGTGTAGTTCCATACTGCTGTATCAAGAGAGAAAAACTATCGAGTGAAATAAGTATTTGAAGTGGATCAAATAATATATTCCAAACGAAATATTAGTTTTGATGTTGTTTTATCTGATGGTGTTTGTATAGACTTTTCGAACGATAGATGGACTCTCACGAAAGACAACTGGTAACAAAACAGAGAGTTTGCTGCAATCGATAAGTCTCATGAAGGTGAAAAGGTCGGAGTACGGGTTATATCGCGTGCCTGCTGACATTTAACAAAGTTTCCATTTATAAAGTAATTGGACCATTTTAGTTTCATCTCTCGATTCATCCGACAATAGTATTGTATTAATATTGTCACCTCTATATTTTTTTTAAACAAATTTAACGTTTGAGATAAATATTTTTATATGATAGTTGCAGTTTTCCTTTTCTATTTTTAGAAATTTAAGCACAGTTTAATTTATTTACATTTATAAACTGAAAAGGGAGGGGTATCTGTTCTTTAATGCATATTCATTCTTTCAATTAATAGATCAGTACAACAGTAAATATGTTGTATTGACCTTACAGTAACAATTTATTGCATCCAGTTTTGACTGCAACAACTTTTTTTTTTTTATTAACATATTATTTATATAAGTTGATCTATTCCTTAAATTTTTACATTCGAGAATAAGCAATACTTTTTTTTATTTAAAAAAAATTTTATAAATTATTAAACTTATTGTCTAAAAACTGGACTAGTTTATATAAATTATGAGACAAATACATCCATTTTTTATAAGCTTATAGATAATGTATATGTATTTTTAAATAGCTCTAAGATTAACCTAGTTTGAAAAATTTTGGAAACTCCCTTTTGGACGATTTCTTCAAAATAACTGTTTGTTAATTCATAAGTAATTTATTGCATGCAAATTATTACCAACGTATCAATTAATTTTATTATGTTACTGTTTAAATAAGCATTATATCTGTATATAGAGAGATAAGTAAATAAAATTATTTGATATATTTAAAGAAAAAACAAAAAGACAAAAATCACCTATTAGGTAAGTAAAAAAATTCATATTTATATATAATATACATATACATATATATATATATAACATTCGAAACAACAATATTTTACAAATACAAGCAATATAATAAGCAGGCAAAAATACTGTTTTCAGTTAAAGCGAAGACAAAAAAAATGCAAATTTTTTCTTAGAACTTGTGCGCTGTAGTGAAAACATCCATAAATATAGCCGTAAAAATTTTTATATTCTTCTTTATAAATCAAATAATATCCCCATTATACAATTAGGCCAACTAATCAATCACCACGCAACACAATATTTATATATATATAGGGCCTTTATATATTTTTTATACAGTTTCTTGTTAAACAGACGGTAGTTGGCAGAAATAACAATAAATATATGAATTTTGTAATAACCCACCTTCATATTTCATTATGGATATAATAATGTATATATTATTTTTCCGATGTAATGATATATTCAGCTGCCTTTATTTATATTCAGATATAGCAAATTTCTTGACAGATATGTTACAATAGCTATACACTTTGATAGTGCAAGAAACATTTTTATAATGTTCCTTAATGGAGAGAAAAGAATCTGGTTTTAATTTATATACTGAGGATTACATTGATATTTTTCTACATTCGCAATTTTTTTTATTTATTTTTTAACAAAATATATGAAAAACATTTATATTATGACCTTTTTATTTAACTGATAAATATAATGTAGTATGAAAACCATAAAATATATATTTAATAATTGTAAATAATTCGGAAGTAAAAAGTTTTATTATATATAAAGTATATTTAGGTTTATTTTATTAAAACAATAAATTAAATTAATCTCTCAGTTACACTCAACTTACAATAGGACAGATCAAATCAAATGCAATTTAAAAGTTTATGAAGTTAATTGTAAATAAATATCAAGAATTTTAATTATAATTTACAAGAAATCTTTCCACTTTCAAGACATATTTCTAAAACCACTTCAGTTTCATTTACACAAGTTAAATATTCATTGAATTTAATATTTATTAATTAAAAGAAGGTTGTATTTAATGTTGTTTAAATATAACATTAGATTAATGTATAAAAACCGAATTAATCATTTATTAAATAAATAAATATAATATTTTTAATTATAAGTTTATACAATAGAACTCCCCCCTATAACACTGTTAATAATTCCGTGTTATATGAATTCCATGTTGTACGAGTCACTTAGATTTTACAAATACGAGTGCCGGATTGTGAACGGCTCACGTATTTGTAAAATCTAAGTGACTCGTACAACATGGAATTCGTATAAAAAGGAATTATCAACAGTGTTATAGGGGGGTCTACTGTATTTTTACTTATTATTCTTAAACAATGATAGCGAAATTGGCATTATTATTGATTTTATGGATCATTTTTTTATCTATATTTCTATTAGGTTCTTAAAAAAATAATGAATTTTTTAATTAAAATTTTAAATTATTCGATTTGATCCAGCCTATTCCGCCAACACATGTAATACTGAAGTTAAATAATAATAATAATAAAATTATTGTAAAAANGCCTTTATATATTTTTTATACAGTTTCTTGTTAAACAGACGGTAGTTGGCAGAAATAACAATAAATATATGAATTTTGTAATAACCCACCTTCATATTTCATTATGGATATAATAATGTATATATTATTTTTCCGATGTAATGATATATTCAGCTGCCTTTATTTATATTCAGATATAGCAAATTTCTTGACAGATATGTTACAATAGCTATACACTTTGATAGTGCAAGAAACATTTTTATAATGTTCCTTAATGGAGAGAAAAGAATCTGGTTTTAATTTATATACTGAGGATTACATTGATATTTTTCTACATTCGCAATTTTTTTTATTTATTTTTTAACAAAATATATGAAAAACATTTATATTATGACCTTTTTATTTAACTGATAAATATAATGTAGTATGAAAACCATAAAATATATATTTAATAATTGTAAATAATTCGGAAGTAAAAAGTTTTATTATATATAAAGTATATTTAGGTTTATTTAAGAACTATGGGAATAAATGAAAATCACATTAAAAATTAAAAAGGAAGTTAAAGTTTAAAAAATTTAAACACTTTTTAACATTTTAAAGAGAATATTAAACTGAAATATTATTGTTTGTTTTTTTTAATTGTCCTACTTTTTCATGCTTTGCTGGTAGAAGACCTGATTTACGTAATTATGTGTTATTGAAAACTGAAAAAAAA